TCAATTTCCTGAAAAAGAAATTTATTTCAACGTGTTACGATATGATGCTTTATTAAATTTCTCTTCGAATAAAAATTAAATTTTATTTTTCTCTCTATATTTATTATTTTTATTAAAAAAATAAAAAAAGAAAAACTTAATCTAAAAAAAAAAAGTTGAAATAAATTGAAACAAAAACCAATGATTTATCGCGTGAGAAAAATTGAAACGTTGAAAGTTCGTTCGAATATAAAATACTTATGCTAAAGAGAAAGAGAGAGAGAGAAAAATTCATTGATGCGTGTTTCAGGCGCAGACCGAATGGCGGCGGAGCAAGTTACGAAAAGTGTATTATCGTCCTATTAACTCTGCCGCGTCGAAATAATGGCCGACGCCGTGTAACAATGTAATTAACCAAATACAAATGCATCCAATAAAGAACGTACAAATTGCATCGACTTATTATGCGCAGACGCGTTTATGGATTCGCGATATTCTTGCACCGAACGTTCGTTTTTTCTAACCGTGAAGAATTCTTTGTGCACGTTCCACAAATTATATATTATTATATATACCGACACGAAATTTACGTCGAACTGAGAATCGTAGTGGTGTATTTTAATTTTAAAAAGGATAGTTTTTTTTTCAATTTGTACATTTTACACATTTTTATATTCTTTGGTTTTGGTGCTTTTTTTCTATTTATATTATGTCGATCGAATTTAATAAGTGAATAAATTATATCAATATAAAATTATATTGATTATCGATTGGGCTTACACCACTATGATACTTAGATATGCAATTGTAAGTATATATAGCTTTAAACCACTGGTATATCTAATATTTAAACTAATATCAATATTGAGTAATTATTTTTAAAAAACCCATTATAGATCGTTCAATTTTCATGCATATATGATCATTTACCAGGATAAATTTAAATCAAAATTAAATTTTTTCCAAAATAACCATCCTTTCGTTTATTCTCTAAGAAAAATTGGCCAACACTCTAATTTTTCTTCTTCGTAAAACTTATAAAAATATACATATGTGATGAAACAAAATACGAGTAATTTTCTTTCGTTGAAAAATAATTTATCCAAATTACTTTCTCCTCGATCACGATCAAATTCATTGCACGTACAACCAACCTATCCCCATCTCGCTATCGTTGATTATTAATGTTTACACCGGCGCGGTCGAATGCGATAGAAGGAGAAGGAGGGGGTTAGTGTATTATTTGAATTCAGCTCGACCAGATTATTCGGTTTGATTAATCAACAACGCGCAACGACGGTGTGTCTCAAAAGATAGCCAAGCCGAGGAGTTATGCGCGTAGGGACAGCGGATGAGTTATTGCTGTCGCGTTACCGTGCCCCGTTGTCCCATTGTTTCTATTATTACATACGTCAAACACGCGAATGAATTATGCGCGGCTGGTGAACGCAGAAGTTGATTCGAGGAAAGTGGAGGGGGAGGCGCTAACGATGTTCCGCGTTCGTAAATTACCGATCAAAGTTTCGAACGCTCGAGTTTCTGGTTCCCTAGTGAGAAATTGTATAGGGACATTTTAAGGAAACTAGCGGTAAGCGAGAGAAAGAGACAATTGCGAAAAATTATAAATGGAATAGAAGACTATTGATATGATTTGATTAAAGGATAAATAATTGTTTAAATTAAATTGCGAAAAATAATTGACGTTATTTTTAATCGCATCTATTATTTCATTTTTATAGAATGTATAATATGGGAATAAATAAATTATTAGAACGAGGATATTTTAACCTAATCTCCGATTCGTTATAAAAAAATTTCATTTTATAAAATAAAATATTTATACTTTTTGATAAAATTTTTTTAACAATTTTAACAATTTTCTTTCTATTTTTGTATCATCCTTTTTTTTACATTCGATTTCTCTCTCGCCAAAATCCGAAGTTAAGCGCGAAATTTAAATCGGTCTAATTTTAATCTACTTTCCTTTCGACGACAGCCATCGATCAAAAAATTTTTCCACAAAGTTATCCGATACACGATTCGATTTATCCTTTTTCACATGCTTCCAAAATTCGCGGTTTTTCAACAAATACCACTTTCGCCACAGTGTCAATTACTTCCTTTGATTTTCAGTCGCACAAAGGCGTAACCATCGAAATGGCCAGCTCGATTTACTCTCCAGCTCGAAACGCATGGATATTTGTGATAACGGTAAAAATAATATTAAAAAAAAAAGCAGAAGAAAGAAAAATGAAAGATAAAATAATTCAGTTTAGGTAAAATCGTTTTGTTTGAATGTTTATCACATGCTATTATTTCCCGACGGGAAAATGAAATTCTTTTTTTTAACGTCGTTTTTTTAATATCTTAAAAATATGATCTAAAATTTTAAATTTTGAATTTTATTATTAGATTGAAATAGAAGATCGATAAAGTGGAAAGTTTAACCGAAGTATTACGATCCTTTCAAAAAATTGAATTTTTCTTCTTTTCATTGTAAATTTAGTTTAACCTGTTACGAGAGAGAATATTTGAAAATTTGACAATGAGATTTTGAGAATAAGATCTATCTTCTTAGAAGTATAACCATCGAAATAAAGAAAGACAAATCGTAAAATACGGAAAAAGCTCGAAGCGCGAATCCAAAAAAAAAAAGGGGAAGTGAAGTGAAAATAGATGAACACTGGATTTAAAGTTTGCTTCAATCTCTCTTCACCAATCGGATAACGAATAAATTGAAAAGGGAAAAAAGAGAGGGGGGGAAAAAAAATATCGAATTTAAAAATACACAGTTATATCCTCGAAAATAGAACTTCATACCCGAAAGATATCGATTTCAATTTATTTCCACGAGTAGTTTTCGAAACGGGTCACAGAACTTTTAAAGAAACTACTTAAATTTTCGTGAATCTTTCTTTATACGACTTCAACGAATAAATTGTGCTATAAAATCCAATAATAATTTCGTTCTATGCATTGCAATATAGGTTACGTATAAAAGGTTTATTTTTTTTTTATCAATGAAATCAACCCTTAAGATTCCATTATTTTTCCTTCTTCATGCATCATAAATTAGATCAATTACATATAATGCAACATTTTAATTATTTTATCAATTGAATAAAATATATTCACTTCAAGGGAATGCAATCGATTGATAATTCCCAATTATTATTTTCAAATTTTAATTCTATCCTATTGCGAAAAAAAAAAATATATATCTGAAGAAAATCGTATAATTATCGTGAAAAAAAGAAAAAAAAAAGTTTGATTTCAAAGAAAATTTTCTATCAAAGAATAAAATTCTATAATCCATTATACTGCACGTGCATTAGCCGTTGAAAAACTAGTTAAAAAAATTTATGAATAAAGTAATACTATAAGTAATTACTTATTAAAATGCTACCCATTTCTTCATTAATTCATCCACGTGTATAATAATAAATTATCCAAGTAACTTAGTAACAACTTCAACTATTTAAAATTTTGCCCATCTATGCTCCGGGATAGTTTCAAGTTTGGATAACATCTCGTGCGCCGATATTCGGAAACTCTATTCTTGGTGACGTTCGGGCGCATTTAGCGGTTTCTTGTTGCACGAGAAGCAATTTTCCGCGTATCTATCCATGGTTGGGGGGAGGCATTAATCCACGTATATCGTGGTCGGTCTATCTTACACAGGTGTTTCGAGCAAACCGCAATTGCCAATCACGCGTATTGATATATCGTATTATTGAATATCCTAGGATGGTTCGGGTTAATTTGTAATTGCATTGCATGCATTGTTGGTAAGATAAGATTCCGTTGAGGTCGAAGTGGAAAAATGAATGGACGGGGTTGGTCAATTTCGAATTTTGTTTAACGTGAAAATTGTATTAAGAAATTGAAAATTCGATTGAATATGAAGAAAGTTCGTTTTATAAATTTTTTAAAATTTGTGATCGAAAGAATACAAAGATAATTTTATTTACATTTCATATAGATTTATTGAAATAAAAAATTTATATTATAACATAATCAATTTCACAAATTAAATGTATAATATATATCGAAATATTAGGGGAAAAGCTCGATTCGTTCTTAATCCATCTCTTAATTAATCTAATATAATCTAATTAATAAAAAATAACACCGATATATTTTCTATTAATTAATCTAATATAATCTAAAAAATAACAGCGATATATTTTCACAATCTCGTATAAATAATAATCCCATCACCATTTATTAATTTTCGTATATTAAACTCGATCGAATTTGCATTATTATCACGCGGAACCCTCCAAGGCAACAATAATCCCCCGAATACTTTTAACGACACATTTCATCGCATTAATAAAACTGACACTGCAACGCAACCCTATTAAACATCCCCTTCCACTCAGTTAAACTTCCTCGAGACCGCGTAATCATCCCCCAAAATAAGCCCCCTTAAATCGTCCACTCCGTACACCTCGTCGTCACTTCGCTTATTCTACCGTGCCTGAGCGCGGAAACAAACGCCCGTCGTTATTCTACTATGCTGCTAATTCTCCTCATCGACCATACTCCCACTCCTAGACACTTCGAATTTTCTTAATCGCCCATATACAATATATTCCTCTTCCTCTTCCCCTCACAGTTAATCATTCCAAGGAATGCGGTGAAAAGAGATGGTAGAATGCTTGAGATTCGATGTACAATGTGAGTGGGGTAATTGTATGGGTTTAAAATACAAGAGAATTAAAAATTTTGTTGGAAAAAGTTGATATTTCAAATGGATAGATGTTTTACAAGACGTCGGTTACGTGATGTATAGGATGATTTATGTGGAAAAAAAAAAAAATGGTAGAAGATGGAAGATAAAATTTCCTTGGGCGAAATTGTTGCTCTTGCGCGAGAGATGTGAATTTGGTTACTCGTGAAACTTGATATTTTGAATGGAAGGATGTTTCGGAATTAAAAACGCGATAAAAATGTTGGAAGATAAAAGATGAAATTTTTTTTAGATGAAATTAAATCCCCTATATCAGAGGCACGAATTACTTATGAAAATTTATATTTTAAATGTAAGATATAAGATTGAGGTCGGTATTTACTTCAGAGTTTAACTTCCGGATTGCAGTCTGAAATTAAAAATAAAAAATTCCACGTCCGTACTTAAAAAGAGAATTTACATGTTCGTGCATTTGGTATGAGGAGAACGAAGTAAAATGGTTTCAAATGGTGCATTGGAGGCGATGCTTTTCGTGCAGACGTTTATTTGCTTTTTTCATGGAGTGTATTTTTTAGAAATGAAGATATTTTAAATATTTAAAGATTATATTTTTTTTTTAGAAATCGCTATACGTTTCCTTATATATCGATTAATTATAACATGTTTTGTTGCAAGATTTTTATTCCATGGATACTAAGAGTTTTAACTTTAATCACTTGACCTTTACGTAATGACATTTTATAAGTTTTTAAGGTCACGTTCAATTCACATGTACATTTATATTGTACGTATATACTCCTACAATTTTCTTTGTATTATTAAACAAAAAGAATATTTATTTTCGAATTTACTAAACTCATCAAAAGATAAATAAGTGTAAAAAGAATTATAAAATAATATATAACAAAAGATAAAAAAAATTAAACGTTATTAAAGATCCTTTAATAAAAACTATATATCATATATATAAATTAAAAATTTTAATCAATCTAAAAATATTAATTGATATTATTACTTACCTATACTCCAAAGCAGAAATATTTGTTATATGACCTATGTATTACGCTAATTCTCCAAACTAAAAAAGAATAAAATAAAATAAAATTAAATACAATATATATTTAAAAAAAAAAAAAAAAAAATAAAAACAATATATATTTAAAAAAAAAAAAAAAAAAATAAAAACAATATATATTTAAAAAAAAAAAAAAAAAAATAAAAACAATATATATTTAAAAAAAAAAAAAAAAAAATAAAAACAATATATATTTAAAAAAAAAAAAAAAAAAATAAAAACAATATATATTTAAAAAAAAAAAAAAAAAAATAAAAACAATATATATTTAAAAAAAAAAAAAAAAGAATATCCAGAATATCTTTACCAAAAATCCAAGAATACCACCAATTTGGAATCATTCTATATACAGCAAGTGGCAAATTTCCTCATATTATATTTCGAATGCGGGCCGAGATTTCACAAATTGCGCATGCGCGGCCGAATGGTGGGGAGGCGTTCCTCTTCTTTTTGCGTCCCTGCAGCCAGTCGCGAAATGTAGATGTCGCTGGTAGTGTCGTCGAAATCCTAACTCTCGACTCTCCCATCTCTATCCCAACCGCCACCCACCTCGTTTCACCCTGTGTCGTCGTC